AGTGGTGTTGTTCAATTTTAGTATGGACTGTCTAGAGTCCATTATGATTTTTATTTCTTCGTCAGTAATATCAGTGTGGATTTTGGCAAAACTTAAACTATTTTCTAATAACTCTTTAGAAATTGAGGGGTAGAAATCGATAATATCCAATTTGATAAAAGTAGTTTTATTTTTATGTTTTATTTTTTGGAACCAGTTAATCATATACAAAAGTGAACATTGAAGTCAGCACGCTGAGGTGACAGGCGGTTTCATGCTAAATGCAATTATCAAGTCGCATGTGTTGTGTTTTTTTCTCGACTATTTAACTATACGGGTCACTGGTGTATTGTGGGTAGTCTGTTGCATTGTGAGTAGTCTTATTTAATGTCACCTTCATACTAAGAAAAAGTACATATAAACCATACAGAAATCCCAATGATAAACCACTATATATATACACACATCTTCCAATCACTCGCCATCTATAATCAAGCAGATACCAAAATCTATTAACAGTAGGCTTTCCGACAATTCCTTCAATGAAACCGTATTCAATGAGGCTAAGTAAGACTACGAAACAGCCCTAAAAGATAGTGGATCCCCGGCAACACTCCCATATACATCACAGTGGACAAAAAGGCCAACGGAAACAGAAAGTCATATTGTTCAACCCACCGTACAACAAAAACGTAATAAGAAACGTAGAGAAAATATTCCTCAAACTCTTGCACAAACACTTCCCTGAATCAAGCAGTTTCCACAAAATATTTAACAAAAACACAGTAAAACTCAGCTACAGTTGCACCGAGAACATGACACAATTAATAAAAAAGCACAAATCACCCAAACAAATTAAACCCACGTGTAACTGCAGAATGAAGAACGAATGCCCCTTAAACAACAATTACTTACAAAACATACAAAATCACGTTAAAATCATCAGATAACGAAGAAAAATATACATAGGGGTAAATGAAGGACCCTGGAAACAAAGAAACTACGCAGACAAAACATCTTTCACAAATAGCAAATACGTAAACAGTACAATGCTTTCTAATTATATCTGGGAAATTAAAAACAAAAAGGAAAATCAAACCAAAATATCATGGAAAATAATGAAAAGAAATATCAGCCTATCAATCCAAAAACTGTAAACTCTGCTTGGAAGAAAAAATAATTATAATAAACTTCCCTGACCAAAACAAACTACTAAATAAACGATCAGAACTCATCTAAAAATGCAGACACGAAAAGAAATTTTACGACGTTACTTCAAAATCTAAAACTGAAAAGAATAAATAAAAATAAATAAGCAAAACAATTAAAATAAATTAAACCAAATAAGTAAATAAAGTAAATAATAAACAAAGAAACAAACAACTCCTGCCCAAATAACCGTTAAAATAGACTACCAACAATGCACCACTGACCCGTATATATAAATAGTCGTGAAAAACGCAACGCATATAGCCTAATGATTGCGTTTAGCATGAAACAGTCTACTGCCCCTGAATGTTTACATACGCTCTATCTCTGATATTGAGCACTTTATTCCATAAATATAGCATACCTGAAAACTATATTTCATCATATATGTGTGTATTTTAAAGAAAATAGATAATTTGTTCCTAATATATTTAAAAATATTTTCTCTATTTTCAAACATACAAAAATGATCTGTTATAGTTAAAATAGATGTATAAAGCAATCACGAAATGTTAATTCTTCAAAATCGCTGGTATTAGCCGAAAGTTCTAAATAATAAGTCTAAAGAGCCGCACAAGGTAGAGGATTGATGTCAAGAGATGTGATAGGATGAGGATAGCGATTGATAATCGACATGAATAAATGAAACAGTGTATTGTCCATCGCAGCATCCTCTCGGGAGTCTATACACAATATAGATATATAGATTTTCAATAGATAGATAGATAGATAGATAGATAGATAGATAGATAGATATTAATGGAATGAAAAAGATAGAGTAATAGAGTTATAGATATGAATGAAGTGAGATGGATAGATAGAGAGAGAGAGAGAGATTTCTGACAGATAGATAGATAGATAGATAGATAGATAGATAGATGAACAGAGATAGATAGATAGATAGATAGATAGATAGATAGATAGATAGATAGATGAATAAATAGAATAAAAAGATGGATATGTCTGAACTGAGATGAATATGATTGAACTGAGATGAATATGCATTGGAAAGTGATTTTATTAGCAAAAAGCATTGGAAAGTGATTTTATTATGAAAATGCATTGGAAAGGGATTTTATTATGAAAATGCATTGGAAAGTGATTTTATTATGAAAATGCATTGGAAAAGGAATTTTATTATGAAAATGCATTGGAAAGTGATTTTATTATGAAAATGCATTGGAAAGTGATTTTATTATGAAAATGCATTGGAAAGTGATTTTATTATGAAAATGTATTGGAATGTGATTTCTATATGAAAATTCATTGGAAAGTGATTTTACTATGAAAATGCATTGGAAAGGGATTTTATTAGCAAAAAGCATTGGAAAGTGATTTTGGTTTGAAAATGCATTTCGAACAGATTTTAGATGAGTTGATTTTATGACACCTCGACTTTTGTCATGTTATCTAATGTCAATATTATAATTGGACTCCTAGTGTGCATAGAATTCATTAATTAACAGTAATATTCAATCAGTCTAACCTCGCTAAGCATTACCCAACCTCGATGTCCCTAGTTAAATTGACAGACACTAAGACAGACAGTTGTTTGATGGTTTATACATATCACAAGTTTATGTATTATTTAATGACGAATTATCTCTGAAGCATTCAGTGAGAATCGAACTCATTATTGAATAGCAATTGTGAAACACACTAACCCCGTATTGCTTTCACGACAAGGTGCTTAGATATATGAATATAATGGCAGATACACTGACAGATAGATAGATAGATAGATAGATAGATAGATAGATAGATAGATAGATAGATAGATAATGAAGAGACACTTAGATAGATAGATAGATAATGAAGAGACACTTAGATAGATAGATAGATAGATAGATAGATAGATAGATAGATAGATAGATATTAATAAATTAAAACGAGATATATAGATAGATATGGATGAATGAATCGAGATAGATAGATCGATAGATACAGCGATTTTTAATAGATAGATATATATTAATAAAATAAAAAGTGATAGATAGATAGATAAATAGATAGATAGATATGAATCGAGATAGATAGATAGATAGATAATGAATGAATAATCGAATGAATCCAGATAGATAGACAGACATACCGATAGATATGAACAGAATAAAATAATGTCAATCGTTATCTTCTGTCTTCCTCTTTTATCGTCCTCTCTCCTTCATAGTAATTTTTCTCATATTCTTTTGTGCCCTAGTGGCTTTATTGTCTTGCATGGGGTGAAATGATTAAAAGAAAAAAAAAATCAGACGGAACTGGAAATTTTCAGCACCTCCTCGTGTATTGGAAACGTGGCAAGTTCTCAATATGTAGTCGAATGACTAATACAGAAATGGATATTAAAAAAAAAAAAAAAAAAAGCAAGCAATTCAACTCAGTCACGCACCAGATTCCGTAAGCATTGAAGCGAAGAAAAACTGTATTTGAAATGCGTCAAAGAGCTACTAACTTAATTGGTAAAAAAAAAGAAAAGAAAAAAAAAAAAAGAAAAAAAAAACACCACCAGAATTTATTCAAGGCGGCTCGACATGGCATAATGTTTCGCGAGTCAGGCGACTTGACCATTCCTTCTGGGTAGTGGGTTCGGTTCTTCTCTGGGTAAACCCTTTTGCTGGTGACCTTGTACCAAACCAAGATGAATTCAGAAAATTACTGAATTTCACCGAATTTTGTAGAGAAATGATTTGATTTGATTTCTTTATTTATTTTAATCGAGTGCACCCCGAGCAAGGAAGTAAAGCCGCTAAGACACAATGTTTTACTGGGTGTTGAAGAATTAGAAAACAGAAACATTACTAAGGATCGAGAACAGAAGAAGAGTAATGAGGTTAACACTAAATAGCGATTGACATTGCATTTAAATTTTTGAAGTTTAAAGTTGGCTGGAAATCATGGAACCTGAAGAGAGTACCACCAGCGAGAAGTGCGAGAAAAGAGACTGTTAGCATAGAACTTACGGCTATATCTAGTTAACTCCACTGCAAATTAATAAGACCTCATTGCCATTCTATTACTGCGCTTAAATTCAAAACGTCTTGGTAGAATAGCGAAGAGCTCATTTGGGTCGGTTTGGTTTGTATAACGGCATATCAACATCTTAATGGGTTATTTGATGCCGAAATTTCATTTTTTTTTTTTTTTTTTTTTTTTTGAATCTATGGAATCTATTGCTGGGAGTTTTTACTATCAAAATGTATTTTTTAACTTTTATGGGGTTTTGTTTTTGTTTGGGGATTCGCTCTTTATTGATAGCCGGGACCCCAACAGGTGCTACCAACCCGGGACTGGGTCAACGTGGGAATAACAGAACCGAAGCCTTGCTACTGGATGTAGTTTATCGTCATGCCCAGGACGAGCGAAGAGCCCCACCCCCGCAATAATTACCATGAAAGTATTTATAGAAAGGCTTTTAATTATTATTTTAAGATGTAGGCTATTCGATAAATAGTCTATAAATAGTCGATAAAAGTCTTTCGATGAAAAATAGATAGATAGATAGATAGATAGATAGATAGATAGATTGGAATATGAATAGATAGATAGATAGATAGATAGATAGATAGATAGATAGATAGATAGATAGGATAGATAGATAGGAACATGATGAGATAGATAGATAGATAGATAGATAGATAGATAGATAGATAGATAGATATGAACAGTTTCAGATAGATTTGATTAAACTAATATATACAAAGTGTAGTAAAAGCAACGCCTTTTTATTTATTACCTATGGCTTAGGCGATAGGAAATGGTTAGATCTTAATTTCAAGCTGAACTGCGTAGCAAAACGTGAGCAATTGATTGGCCATCACGATCACCAGACCCTGACACCACCAGGCATTTTCTTGTTGGGTCGACTGAAAGATCCTGTTTACCCCCCCAATAAAACAATTCGGGAATTAAAAAAAAATTCTGATTAATTTTCTGAAATAACTGCAAAAATATGTCAAATGATTTATAGAAGTGTTGCTGATACGATTCAGCGTTCTATGGAACATGTTAAATACTTTGTTAATCATAACATATAATGTTATTTTGATGTGACAATATTTAGTTATTAAACTAAATTGTCCTGAGGATGGTTTATTAGACCGAAACGTCCGACGTTGACATTATATTAACATTAAAACAGCATAATTGCATATTAGGATTTTTGTTTGTTTTTTTGCGTATATTTTTCTTCATACTGTCGGATCTATATCCATATATTTGCTATATATATATATATATATATATATATATATATATATATATATATATATATATATATATATATAAATTGACGTCTAAATTAAGCAGAAATGAAAATAAAAGTTCTCGTTTTAAGAAATATGTTTACCGAAATTGCAAAAAATATCTTGAAATACTAAAGAGTAAATTTATTCAATAAAATCGCAGCTGGCTTAACCACGGCCTCCAGACGACTTCGGAATCTCCTGAGACTCTTCTAGATGGTTTTGTTGGTCTCTCGCTCAACTGCACCCCACGCATAATAATCGAGCTTGTTGCAGTCTGGGGAGATAGAATGCCAGATGTAAGTGTTGATGTGGTCGTAGAAATTATCTGGCAGCCAATGCTAGGTTATCTTGCTTGTGTGGCATGTCCTGATGCTAGGCATATGGTCTTCCAGCAGACGCCCTTTTGACTCAGGCCTGCATTACCTCCTCGAGGCACTTGATGTAAACCTACAGGTTGAGTCTGCGGTCCCCACCAACAAATTCGGAAGTTCTTTGCTATCAGTACGATCAGACTGAGTTTTACTAGCTGCCGTACAATCGTTAAAAAAAACCTTTAGACACATCCAACTCTTACTGAATCCGTTACAATGTCCTCGGATTAACAACCAAACATTCTGAAATGTTCGTATTCGAGCTGCCAGCGCGAATGCCAAGCAGTACAGCATGGTGTTTTCAAATTTCTAACGGCGAGAATTGCGTCATGGTGCTCTTTTTCTCACAGACGATGACGAGCTAACCCTACTATACTTTGCAGTCAACAAATTCAAAGAGAAACAACGCGCATGCGCGAAATGAAAAATATAAAGTGGCGACAATTTACCCATCGTTACCATATATATGTGTGTGTGTATGTGTGTATATATATGTATATATATATATATATATATATTACAATGAATCATTCATACAAAAAGTAGATTAGTAAAGTTAATGATATAAAATGGCGAAATCCATTCGCGAACAAAATTTTAATAGTTGCATTAACCTACTAATCACTCGATGAATGTTATGGTCCTTGTTTTTGAAAATTATAAACTGTATAAAGTCTTTCTTTAATACGCAAGTACTTTCGACTGTACATTCAGTTATCTTCAGGCATGGAAATTATTTTGTTTTTTGTAAAATTCAGGTAGCAAGCGAGACGAAAAAATAGGATACGAATCGAAATATGTATTTTTTTTTGTTTTTTTTTTAAATGTGTTATTGTTAACGGATGCAAACTTTTGGAGTGTGCGGTCGCAACTCCAAATCATCGAGTGATTTGGAGGTTAATGCACCTTTAAAATTTTGTTAGTGAACGGATTTTGTGATTTTATATCATTAACTTTGCTAATCTACTTTTTGTATGAAAGATTCATTGTAATATAAATTGAACTGCACCACATATCTTATATATATATATATATATATATATATATATATATATATATATATATATATATGTGTGTGTGTGTGTGTGTGTGTGTGTATTTGTGTGTGTGATAAATTATAAAAATATAGTTTTATTCTGTGCTATATTGATGGGTTAAAGTGATCGATATCTAGGATAGAGCGTATATATATATATATATATATGTGTGTGTGTGTGTGTGTGTGTGTGTGTGTGTGTGTGTGATAAAATATAGTTTTATTCTGTACTATATTATTGATGGGTTAAGCACATATCTATAGACATCCATAGATAGACTGTTTCAAAACTGATTTCAAAACTGATTTAGATAGATAGATAGATAGATAGATAGATAGATAGATAGATAGATAGATAGATAGATATGAAAAGGGAGAAAAATAAATATGATATATATATAGAGAGAGAATGAGACAGATATGAACAGATCAGCATAGATAGATAGATAGATAGATAGATAGATAGATATGAATAGATAAATAGATATGATATATATAAAGATGTGATATATATATATAGAAAGAGAGAGAGAGAGAGAGACATAGATAGATACTGAGATAGATAGATAGATAGATAGATAGATAGATAGATAGATAGATAGATAGATATGAAAAGGGAGAAAATAAATATGATATATATAGAGAGAATGAGACAGATATGAACAGATCAGCATAGATAAATAGATAGATAGATAGATAGATAGATATGAAGAGGCAAAAAGATGTGATATATATATATATATATATATATATAGAAAGAGAGAGAGACTGAGACAGATATGAACAGCTTATCATAGATAGATAGATAGATAGATAGAGAGATAGATAGATAGATAGATAGATAGATAGATAGATAGATAGATAATGAAGAGACTGAGATAGATAGATAGATAGATAGATAGATAGATAGATAGATAGATAGATAGATAGATTATGAAAATCCGGAAATAGATATGAACAAACTGAGATGGAGATGAACATAGATAGATAGATAGATAGATAGATAGATAGATAGATAGATAGATATTGTATAGGAAAGGAAGTGTAGTGTCCGCTATTTGTAGTTGGGGGTTATGGTGCACGTTTAATGTCGTGCAATGGTTATTTATACGCGAATTAGAGTCATTTATAAATATGCAAAAGGTGCTGAGTGCAGTTGTGATGTACATACTTATCAGGAAACGCTTCTCCAAATTGCCCTTCATGTACGAGGCAAAAAGTGCTTCTGCAAACAACAGCCAACGGACGCGATTTCTTCCATAATGGGCTGATTCCACTCGCAACAGGCCCCTGAGTGACCGAAAGAAGAGAAAAACTGCTTAGCAGATTCTATTATGTAAATGAATCGATTTTCCTTGATTCACTTTCCGGAAAGTATGCCAACATCTTCGATAGGAAAAAAAAAAAAGAAGAAGAAGAAGAAGAAGAAGAAGAAGAAGAAGAAGAAAAAAAAAAAAAAAAAGAGAGTTTAGCGACCCAAACGGTGTGTTGTATTTTATTGTAGTGTCTTAAAATTATTTCCGGACTTGTTCTGATAAAATTATTTTTGATTTACCAGACTTTGGAACTCTGGAATATATCTAGAACAAACAGAACTACGAAATATTGCCTTTCACATCTATTTTACAGTTATAGAAAGAAAAAAAATATTAGAAATCTGTCTTGAAAGTTCGCACTCTCTTTATTATTATTATTATTATTATTATTATTATTATTATTATTATTTTCTTTGATTTCTGGCGTTTACACATTTCTTTCCGGGTCCCGCCCAGGGACCTAAGGTTAGAAATGGCATCATGACACTCTTCACTGACCAAAAAAAAAAAAAAAATTACATAGATAAAGCCCTTCGTAAGGTGTGGGCTGTACTTCTCAGAACAATTTTTGTATCTCCTTGAGGCATGGACTTCCAGGAATCCCTTCAATTAGTCTACTGCAATCTTTTCTAACCAATCCTAGGGCTCCAACTACAACAGGGATTGTTGATGTTCCCATATGCCACATTTTTTAGATTTCTATTTCAAGGTCCTTGTATTTTGACAGCTTTTTGAATATCTTCAAAGATACATTGCAGTCTGCAGAGACTGCCATATCAATAAGGAAGCACTTTTTTTTTGTTTGTGGTCTTTAATAACAATATCTGGGCGGTTTGCTTTGATTGTTCTGTCAGTGTGTATTGTGTAGTCCCATAGAATTGTAACAGGTCCTATCTCCGTAACCGGGTCTGGGTGGTGTTCATACCAGTTTTTTTTTTTTCAGTTTCCTTCCTGGAAAAGTTTCAAATTTTCCAGTGCAGATATTGGCCTACCCTGTCATGCCGGGTTTTATACAAAGTGGGCCAATTTTTTATTATTATTATTATTATTATTATTATTATTATTATTATTATTATTATTATTACTTCCTGGCGTATATTGGTTTCTTTCCGGGTCCCCCACCCTCAGAAAGCTAAGGTCAGAAATGGCATCATGACATTTTCCACTGAGCAATTTTGAAAAAAAAATCACAAACATTTTACGTAGATTTTAGGGTTGCCATTAATTTAATTCACATATTTGTTGGCACCTTTTAATATCATTCTCAAGGCACTAATAACAACAGGTCGTTATTGTTTCCAGAGGCGACATTCTATTAAGTCTCCACCTGAAATTTCAACAGACCTAAGGTCCCAAATGGCATCATGGCATTTTCATTGATCATTAAAAAAAAAAACACTAAGGTCATATACATTTTACATAGATAAAGCCTTTCGTAAGGTGTAAGCTCTACTTGTGAGTACAATTTTTTTCTGTATTTTTTTTTTTTTTAAGGCTTGGGTCACCAGTTATCCCTTCAAGGAGGCTATCGGAACCTTTTCCAATCAATGGATTAAACTACAACTGGAATTGTTGATGTCCTCTTGTGCCACATTTTTGAGATTTCTACTTCCAGATCCTTGTACTTTGATAGTTTTTGGAAGATCATCAAAGAGACATTACAATCTTCCGGGACAGCCATGTCAATAAGAAATCATATTCTGCTTTTGTGGTCTCTGATGTTAATAATTGTTACAGGTCCTATTTCTGTAACCGAGTCTAGCTGGTGTTCAATTTTAATCTCTTCTTCTTCTTCTTCTTCTTATTATTATTATTATTATTATTAGTAGTAGTAGTAGTAGTAGTAATAGTAGTAGTAGTAGCCTTTGCCAGGTACTTGTTTCATCTTATTTCTATTGTTTTTTATCGCAACGTCAAGTCCGTTTTTTTTATTCCACAACAATTAAGCAGAATGAAGAGAAAATAACGAATAACACGACTTAAAAGTGAGTTCGTTCCTCACTAGGCGCCCCATACTTTCAGCCTTGTGCCACATCTAAGCTACGCTTAGAAAATAATCATTATTAGTTGTAGTAGATGCAAGAGTATCGCCTATGAGGCTCAGTCAGTTACGTGCCATACGTGATCATGTATCTTTCGATACATGACTGACGGGGAAGATTTTTTCCCGCAGTAGGTTGCCATTTCTTTCTGTGGTAGACCAGTTGCCAACCAAAGCTATAAAACCTACTCTATTTAACCATAGCTAGAGAAAGAAGAGAATTCATACCTTGCTTAGCACATTTGTGAATACAATGGATTCGACTGGAATTCGAACTCTGCCCTCAGATTCCGCAATCCGAACCACTATGCATTACTCCACCGTTTAACTCTGCGAAAGCTATCCAAGACACGTCATTCAAATTCATTCATATAGCAACATTCTTCCATTTCTGATTTTAATTCCTTTCTTTATAGTTTATTTACTCAGGAGTTATATATAATAGTTTTGTCTATAAGACTAGGAGAGTTAATTAAGACACGTTATTCAAATTTAGTTATATAGATAAATTCCAATTCTGCTTCCATCTTATATAGTTTATTTATATTAGTAGTTCTAGTATATTTACTATTATCGCATATAAGGCTACGAAAGCTAATCAAGACACGTCATTCAAATTTAATTATATAGCTACATTCTTCCCTTTCCAATTCTGCTTGTCTTATATAGCTTATTTATATTAATAATTGTAGCAGGTGTAATAGTATTGCTTATAAGGCTACGAAGGCTAACCAACGAACATAATTAAAATTGAATTATATTGTGATATTCTTTTAGTCTGTTTACGCTAGTACTTATAACAGATGAAGTAGTCTTACACAATCGTCCCACATGCTAAGCCAGACAAGTAACTCTAGATTTAATGGGTGGAACCGGTAACGGACACGCCTTATTCCACCTCTCAATGCACAGCCTAAGGGATTTTACGTTCCTAATCGACAAAAATGCCATACCGTAAATCTGGACCCACCTCTGTTTGAAGGGCATTTTGCAGTTGATGCGAAAGAAATCGCTTTTCCATCTGGGTGAAGCCGAACTGAAAAAAAAAAAAGAAAAAACGCAGAAGACGTGAAATTCCTTCCCAAGCAATGCTATATTACTAATGGTTAAACTAGATTATTATTTTTTTTTTTTTTTTTGTGGGTGGGGGAATTAACCCTTTTTGTCTAACAGGGAACTTTTCCTAACCCCCGCGAGATTGCATTGTTTCTCCATTATGTGCCGGATCCTTTCAGGACAAGAACGATCCTGGCTTGGCACTGCTTCCCATTCCTTGTGATCCGCTTTTCTACGGCACCCCCACCGCCACCCACCATCCATTCAGTCAAGCCACCCACCATCCATTCAGTCAAGCTCATCAGGTGACTTGCTGTCTTCCCCTATTTCTCTTACTTTGGGGCACCTCGGGGTGGTGTAATGGTTAGCAAGTTACGAATGGGTAGTGACTTCGATCCTCACTGGGTGCCCCTTACTTTCGGCCTTGTGCCACATCCAAGGTACGCTTGGAAAATCGCTATTTCTCTTACTTTCTATATACCCCGTGAGGCTTAGGTTTTCTAAGACATCTTTCCACATTATATGTCCACTGATTGACTGACTGATCCGTTTTTTTTTACGGTTAATCAAATCTTTTATTCAGGTTATTCAAATCTTTTTTATTCTGAGATGAGGTATTTATATTCAATTATTCGGACTATTGTCCTCATCATTCTGTCTATATTTCTGAGATGAGGTATTATGTACACTATTTACATTATTCGGACTATTTTCCTCATCTTTCTATCTATATTTCTCAGATGAGGTATTATGTACACTATTTACATTATTCGGACTATTTTCCTCATCTTTCTATCTATATTTCTGATTTGAGGTATTATGTACACTATTTACATTATTCGAACTATTATCCTCATCTTTGTCTCCATATTTCTGAGATGGGGTATTATGTACACTATTAAAATTATTCGGAATATTTTCCTCATCTTTCTGTCCATATTTCTGAGATGAGGTATTATGTACATTATTTACATTATTTACATATATTTCTGAGAGGTATTTTACACTATTTACATTATTCGAACTATTTTCTCATCTTTTATATTTCTGAGATGAGGTATATTATACACTATTTACATTATTTAGACTATTATCCTCATTTACATTATATTTGAGATGACTATTGTCAATATTTCATTATTCGGACTATTTTCTCATTTTTGTCTATATTTCTGAGATGATATTTACACTATTTACATTATTCGACGTTTATTTCTGAGATGAGGTATTATGTACACTATTTACATTATTCGGGCTATTTTCCTCATCTTTTTCTATATTTCTCAGATGAGGTATTATGTACACTATTTACATTATTTGGACTATTGTCCTCATCTTTGTTGCCATATTTATCACAACGTTTAAGGACTTTTTAGATCCAGTGACAGGACCCAAAGAGTGTGAGTTTAATACCTGGTTATGGCCGTGGAAAACTTGGAGAGGTGAATTAACAGAAAATAACTGACATCCATTAGACGTGGCACGTGGAACTAGAACGGTCTACTCCAGCGAGCGAAATAAAGGGTTCAGTACGACATTCCAACCACCTGAAGAAGGCCGTAGCGTACAATGGCCGAAACGTTGTGATAAATATGGCAACAAAGATGTGGATGATAGTCTGAATAATGTAAATAATAGTGCAGAATACATTTCTCGATTTTCATATTTTTTGTGGGGGGATAATAGTAATTAAGTGATACAGCTGTTACTAATTAACCCATAGATGGGGAGAAGAGATTGATTCATACATTTCTCAAGGGGATTTGTGCGTAAGTGAATATAACGAACCCAACGGGAATTGGAACACTGCTCTCCTATTAACAATTTTGTGTCGCTATTCATTACGTCACCGGCACATTCAAACTTACAGCACCTGGTATTCGTAAGTGGTCACCCATCTAGATACTGACCAAGCTCGACGTTGCTTAACTTTGGTGGTCGTACGGGAACTGGTGTTTCAATGTGATCCAGCCGTCTCTAAATGATAAGAGTAGACGTGTTCTTTTTGTTGTCATTTTTTTTTAAGACTCCATCGTTGCTTACTAGAGCGCACACACTTGCTCACCTCTTTCCATATTTACCCACATTGTTGAGACTACCTCGTATTCCCATCCGGGGACTTAATGCCAACCGAACCACACTATCGCCTTTCAAAGAAAAAAAAATCATCTACTCTACAACCTATCACCAATTTATGTTGATCTATCCCCCAACTTTCCACCCTTGGCAGAGTTCAAAAGATTTTACACGGACTTGTAGACGATGAATCAGTCTCCACTCTACAACCTACTTGCAATGTTTATTTGTCTACCGTCTGACCTCTTTAATCCGTCTGACCTCTTGGATAAGGTCGCTACCTGACCACAAAAACATACCAGACGACAGACTTTCCTACCAAAAAATACATTGTAAACATAGTTTTGTCAGCCCATTTCACATATACGAGGGTCATTCAATAAACAAGGTGAATTTTTCAGTATAAGGACTTCTAATACAGATAGAAACTTACTTTTTTTTATTTTTTTCAACGTAGTCTCCCAGCACTGTCACACACTTTTCCCATCTGTGCACAAGCTTCCGTATCCCCTCAGCGTAAAAACCTTTGGACTGATGTCTCAGCCAATCGCTCATAATACTTTTGACTTCATCGTCACTTTTAAACTTCGTGCCTCTCGTGAACGCTTTCAAGGGACCAAACAGGTGAAAGTCTGAAGGGGCAAAGTCTGGGCTGTATGGGGGGATGAGAGAGCAGTTCCCAACCCAGCTCGTTGATGGTCTGCACCGTTTGGGTTGCTGTGTGAGGCCTTGCATTGTCATGATGCAAGATGATTCCTTCTGACTGATGACCCCTGCGTTTGTTCTTTATGTCTTTCTTAACCTGCCTCAGCAGTTCACAGTAGTTCTTCTGTCAGACTGAATGAGGTCATTGACTGATTTGATCACCTCAGGAGACCTCACTTCTGTAGGCCTCCCAGGCCTGTCTTCATCCTCAACACTGCTCCGTCCTTCTTTAAACAATTTAACCCACTTGTAGACAATTTTTTGGCTGAAACATGTGGCACCATACACAGTTGACATTCTCCTATGAATTTCAACTGGTTTGCACCCTTCAGCAACCAAAAACTTGATAACTGACCGCTGTTCAATCCTGAAGCATGCTTCCTGGTCGGCCATCTTTGGTAATCGCCAAAACTCTCAAAGTTTGTTTTTTTTAATCTGCAAAAGAAATTAAATCCATGTGAAAAAGAAGTAAAACAAAAAATATAAAAAAAGTAATCTTCTATCTGTATTAGAAGTCCTTATACCGAAAAATTCACCTTATTTAGTGAATGACCCTCGTACATTGCGATCAATGTTATTAAAAACAGAATAAAACTTTAAACAGGAAATAAAACAATCTTTTTATTGCTTTGAAACAAGATGCTTATTGTTTCATGCAGTACAAAAATAAGTAAATAATAATAATAATATATATTTACTATCCTGAGTGGGTAAATATGGCGTGATATAGAAGAAATGATCAAGACCGTATCACCAAAACACTCTACTGCTGCGGAAATATTAAAACGGCGTGGAGGGCTTCCTTCGCAGCCGCTTCAATGACGGCTAGTTAAAAAAAATACCGGAGATCAGGTTAAAGAGGTCGGATTTTACGTTGGCTTATATGTCGCGAAAAATTAAAATGAATATAATATACAAATTATGAAACTATAATAATAATTAAATAAAAATTATAATAAAACATAATATACGTATATAAATAAATGCGAATGTCAGTGTGTCACACTTTTTCAACTTGACTCCTAGAGGCCGTAGCCCAACCTATACATATTTTGGAATCAGACTAAATCCATGATCAGAATAAACATACAAAGGGCTTGATCCAGACCCGCAATCGTGAAATTTTGGATTCCCAACCTCTCATTTCTGCGATTGATTTCGCTTAATTTTTACGTGATTTTTTTGTAATGAACTTTTTTGTATGATAACAATTTTTTATAAATTGGAAATAAATTTAGGAATAATCGAAATTAATTGCGAAATCCAGCGAAAGTCACCCGTGAAATCAAAATAATTGTTTGTACTGAAAATAAGAACCTACGTACATCATATTGTTTTTTAAATAAAGTAGTGGCAGAAGAGTTATCGTTGAACTTTTAAAAGGTAAGCTTAAATATTAATGTTATACTTAAATGCAGCGATCAATTTTGAGTTCTTCTGTAGTTTATTGTTGCTTATCGCATTTACTCCTCCTTCCCTGTTGTGATGAAGGCCCAATCAAGAGCCCTCCGCAGGATCTAGCTTAAATGCCGCCCGATAGCTAGTATAATAATAAAAAAGGTGTTTAAACATTTCCTATTTTGATATTATTTTAGCTAAATATTATCGTAACCAAAAAATGCGACATGTTACAATAACGCACTTTTTGGGTTAATCGAATTTAATCGTGATATCATAGTTGATTTATTTTTTTTTCTGTTTATATATTTAAATCGAAGCAGTTGTGTTTATATATGATATTTGTTTATATCTAGAGTATTCTGTTTGTATCAACGTCCTCGTGCAAATTAATTAAAACAAAACGAATACTTCCGTTGTTAATTTTTTTTTTTTTTGTATTTTTCCAATGAAACATGACCCAGTGCATATGTTAGTATTTCGTATGTCCATTCCACGAAGTCATTCCTTGCAGAATGACCACAGATTCTCGATTGGATTCAAATCAGGAGAGTTTCCGGGCCAGTCTATAATACTTTGCTCTGCTTACTGGCAAGGCTTGCCAGTGTGTTCATGCAGCGTTGCAATTTTCGTACGCTTCCTTGGAGTAACGTCGATCGCAGACAATGGCCGTAAGACAACTAATCGACAGTCGAGATAATAGTGTCTGGGTGTGATGAACACAATCACGGGTGATGCAATATTTTGTGAGGTCAAACAAATGTCATCATACACCCCGAAAATAGATTCATATTACTGCACACTACTGCAAATGACCTAATCTGAGTAAAAAAAAATAGAAATCAATTACACCGTGTCAAGTGTGTCTAAAACTAACCGTAAGAAATGAAACTAAAACGGTTGTTCCAATTAATTAGCAAAAGGGTGTATATTGTTTTTATATCGAAGCAATTTTACTCATATCTTTAGTGATCTGTATCGATATCGTTTTATATCGCCGAAATGTTTTTAATAACATTTTTATATCGAAGCCATTTTATTCTGAATGTCTCGATATCGTATTTATATCGAAGTAATTCTGTTTATATTCATAGTTTTCTATTTGTGTCTATATAATATTCATATGGAATTCATTTTATTTGTATTCATAGTATTCTGTTTGTATCTATAACTTTTTTTTTATATCGAGGCAATTTTCTTTATGTCCACAGGATTCTGTTCAGGCCGATATCAATGTTATATCAAGATAATTTTGCTTATATCCGCAGTATTTTGTACCTATATGATTTTTACATCTAAACAATTTTCCTTATATTCATTGCCATATATCGTTTTGTCAAGATGAACAGAATTTGATTTTCATCCGTGCCATTTTGCTTCATACATACACGTCTGGTTACGTTTTCTACCACATGACGTCAGCTAGCAAAGAAGAAGCACCAACAGAAATAGTTCAGTTGAAAGTGCGATCCAGGAAAGGTCTTCCTGTGTCAATGGCCAAATCCAATTTCAGCACATTTTTCAGATCGGAAATCCTCCTTGAGAAAACAAACATTTTTCCGGTCAGTTTGATGTTTGAGTAAAAAAACAAATCAGGACTTCAAACACTCCACGAGAAATATATATATATATATATATATATATATATATATATATATATATATATATATATATATATATATATATATAAGGGAGAGGTTATAGTCCTTCCAACGAGAGAAAAGAGTATATTTTAAAGAGGGGAGAAAAGCCGCAAACGTTTTTGCTTATAATGTAAAGTCTTTTTAAAAATATATTATTTCATATATGAAAAAATACACATTATAACTAAACACATTTTCGGCTTCACACTTCACTTTATATAAATATATATATATATATATATATATATATATATATATATTTTTTTTTTTCTTTTTTATAGTTAGGGTGCATCTGGTTACGGTAAAATAAGTAAATGATATTTCCTTTTTTCCACTCCAAGCAAGGCAATAAAGTTCCTAAGACGCAAGATATAGAGACTAATATAATTAAATTTTCAGTTACATCCACACATCAGAGAGACAAGGGTTGGGGTTTATCTATCTCAGTTTGTTCATACCTCTGTCTATCTACCTATCTCTCTATATATCGCTCTCACTTTTGTTCATGTCATCTTTATATCTATATATCTATCTACCTCAGTCTATTCATATCTATCTATCTATCTATCTATCTATCTATGTATCTATCTATCTATCTCTGTATCGATCGATCTATCTATCTTATTTTTCATTTCAAACCAAACAAGGAAATAAAACCACTAAGACGCAAGGGGATTACTGCGTGTAAAAAATATAAAAAAAGAAAAACATTATTAAGAAGAAAAACAATAAAACAACAGAAATTAAAGAGCCAGATTGACGTTGTATTTAAATTTTTGAAGATCAAACTTGACTGAAAAGCAAGAAACGGGAAGACAGTTCCACAACCAAAAGGGTGTGTGAAATATAATTGCTACCATAGAACTATATATATATATATATATATATATATATATATATATATATTTAATTTAATTTATATATATATATATATATATATATATATATATATATATATATATATAAAAAAAAAGAGAAGAGACGTGCCGCAAACGTTTTTGGTTGTAATGTGTTTTTTTAGAAAAAAATATTATGCTTTATTTTCCATAATTTTACGACACGAGTTTCTGGTCTCGCGACCGTCTTCAAGTAAAAGGTGTAGATTTCCACATATTATTAAAATTAATTAATTTTTTTCCT